CTACAGTCTACTGGCACACTTCGTCGACGCCGTCGCCATACCCATAGTGGCCATCGCTTTAGACGGGTTCGCCACTCTCTTCACTTTCATCGGCGCAGTTGTTCTGTCGGCGAAGTTGACTACTGTCAACTGCGCCAACATTGTGAGTATAGCAGCGATTCCCAACACTCGTGATTAATCAGTTGCTAATAAGTATTGTGTACTGCAGGGCACAAGACCGTCCGACTGGATCGCTTTCGGTTCCGCCAATACGGAGAAGCGCTGCCGGGAGATCCAAGCAGGCCTTGTCTTCATGTGGTTCCTGTTCGGCACGTTCACTGTCGCTTTGGTGCTTGCATTCAGGGAATTCCGGCGCGGCGGCGGATCCGTCCGCGGCCCGAGCCTCGCGAGCATGTCGCAGATCGGCGTGTAGTTCCGCGACGATCACGCAGATCGTGCAAAGAAAGATGACGAAGAGTCCAGATACACGTGGGACTGGGACTTACGATACTAATGAAGGAGACGATTGGTCGATCAGCTGGTCGCTCGGCTATCATACGCTATTATTGTACTGTGCAGGATAAAAGGATTTTAATAGGATCGAGCCAGGTCGCTCTGTTATGTTTCTTGGGAGTGATGGACTATGGAAGGCGGAGCCTTTTTCACAGAGGCATTATGTGAACGGAAGGGATAAAGGTAATGATGGAACGAGACCGAGGTTTTGGACACGAAGCGGTATTACCAAACAAGCATATTAAGTTATTTCGGCTCCAAGGACAATATTATGCTTAGACGTTGGGAAATAGGTTTTTTTGCTTTCCTGGCTCAATCATGTAAAGATATAATAAAACCAGTATACGAGAGACGTCCTTGTAACACATTTGTAGTGTCCTATCGACGAGTCTTTAACATGTATGCTTTAAAAAAACCTCCCGCACGTGGTCTTCAGAGTAATTAACCTATTTTCTCAGAGAGTCCTGGATCTAATACCTCCTAACAGATTTCACCCTTTGACCGCATAGTCTGCGCTTCTCTTCGATGACGCGGGCTGTCGCAGCTCCGTAGATCCCTGACAATGCGAATATGGTCATTCTGGAGCTAATGATGATCATCGCAGCTCGTTATTAAGCATGTTGGATGGCGAGATGGCCGAGTGGTTATGGCGGTGGTCTCAAGTTAAACTTACGCTATTCAATAGCGGTGGATGCCACTGGAGCAATCCTCAGGGGTTCGAGTCCCCTTCTCGTCAGCTTACTTTTGGAGCCCGCATTCTTTTGGGGAAACCTGGTTCGAATCCTACTCTTGTCAATTCAATTTTTTTTTTTTTTTTTTTTAAAAAAAAAAATGACTTGGGATTGTTATTTCACTACAATTATTTTATTTTTGTTAGATTGGTCAATCATGAAGCTTTCTATTTTGGTTGTTGAGAGGTGTAAGGGTTATTATCTCCTATAAGGTGTAGCAGACGAATCTAGGTACTGTATTCTACGTTCTAGAAAAAGCAGCTCATCTTTTCTTGTATAAAACCTGTTCTGAAGCAGTAGACTCCATGGCGTAGTCAAGATGATAATAACATGTCGTCCGCAAAAGTAACCCGAATTAAATGTATAAAAGATAATGGGTTGCATTTCCGGGCTCATACTCCCTGATGATATTTACCTAATCCATTCCTCTTTTCTATATATATATATAATCAAGTATAATAGAGAGAGTTCAATCTATCCAGAAGTGAGGAAGTAGGCGAAGTATGCTTTGCAGGTGACTGTCTATACGTGTCCTCTGAAACATGACATGGGTTGATACGGAAGGATGCAGGTGGTAATGGCAGGAAGGGTTGCATTTCGAGCCCATTCAAGAAAACGAAAAGATGAGGAGTTGCAGCGATATCTGCAAGGTAGATCTTTGAGCCCCCAAAGAGATCTAAATACTATAATTAAGTGATTACTCGGTCATTTGCCTTTTTAAGGCATTATATAGAAGAGATATTAAAGCCTTGACTCCAAGACTATGTCAACAGCTATAAAAGAGAATCAGACAATATCCACGACGACTCTGAAGATATAATTATCCATTTCTTTCATTATGAATCGAATGATCAACAAATTAGATCAAAATGGACGATCTACAAGATTGGCCAACACGACCTCGGCAAATCATGGCAAAGTCTTCATCATATTTATGGACTTTGTTACCAATGACCTTCCTCTCGTTATACATTGGTGGGAGTAATCATCAACTAAAAGTCTTCGATTTCTTGTGCTGATACTTGAATATAGTCTTCGGTATTGTAGCGCTGGTTTTGAATGGCCGGCCGGCCCCCTGCCCGGGGAGTGTCATCGTCGAAGAAATATCCAAACTTGTTAAGCGTAACTGTCATTGAGGAGGGAGAAACGAATTCTAATATTTAATCTAAGGCCCCCACGACTTATCCTGTTCTATTTGCCTTGGTCCTTAAAAATGCTCTTCAGTCAATGGGTAGGTTATCTTCCGAGCGAGGAGTCAAAATAGGAGTAAGAGCTTTCCGTGTCCAAACTTTTTTTTTTGGTAAGGGAAGACCATAATTAACCATTTAATGCGTATTTTATAGACTCTTCATTTTTTCATGACAACAAGAAGTCTCGGTGATGCTCTAAACACTACCACACGCATATTCCATCAAACTATATTGATCAACTTATCAATTGCCCTATGGGCGTTGTCGCCAATTGGCAGCCAGGCATCTTTCCGGATGTTATATACAACTCAACAAATCGAAACTTCAAAAAATACCGTCAGATACCTGGATACTGGTCCTTTGCGGCATTCTCTTCTGCACTGGTCTTTAAACGAGGAGTCATCTTACATTCGACGCGCGACAGACAAGAATTTCGAACAAGATTTCTACACAGTTATGGCCCAATCTTGGGACACACTTGAGAGCCGAACTGATAGCTGGGGCAACGCCAAGATTCCTCGGATCGAAGACCTTAATATCCCAGAAGGCCCCGACGCTTGGCTTGACACCACGGGATTGAAGGGCGCGGATTCATATTCCTCCCCCCTCGGAACTGCGATCCATGAGCTTCCTACTGCCGGCTCCAAAGACCTTTCGATTGAAACTTCATATATCGGTGTTTCCTGTGATCCTCTGAGACAAACCGCACTCAATCCTGATGAGCCAGATAATGCACGCCTTGACTTTCAGCTGTCTTGCCTGAATTGCCCTACATGGAATATCTCTGAGTTAGATCAAAAGTGCATGACAGGTTTCCAGCGCCCGTGGTGTAGCAGGCTTGCCTCATTTCTTGGGTTGGGTGCACCGAACTCGACTTTCAACTCCACCCTCCTAGCTGTTGACATTTGGGTATATGATGCCGCAAATTCGAAAGTCAATGCAATAGACGAAGCTAAGCCAATCCAGATTCATACCTCCTGGACCACTATTTGCAACGTATACCAGAAACATGTCGAAGTCCGAATTAGGTGCGAAGGCGAAGAATGCTACTCGAAGTCGGTTCGCAGGTCTCAGCTCGATAAGCGACCAGATATCATTACACCCATGGACTTCTGGGCTTCCAAATTTCTTCCCAATGGATCAACCACCCAGCTTCTTGCAGATATAATTCCAAGCTATTTAAGCGGTCCGGTTCCGCACTCATCAAGTTCAGCCAACATAAGTCAGCTTTTCGCACAAGTCACGGCAGAACAGTTCTCGGCACGACTAGGAGCCGTTCTGGACACATACTTGCAACTTTATCTTTCGGGAACCATTATTCGACCCAGGAACACTTCCAGAGAATTTCCCGCCGAACTCATGATGTCACTTCAAGATATCTGGGGCCCTGGATATGATCCCACAAATGGCCTGAAACTTGTATCAAAATCATCCGAGTTCGAAGTCGTCTGGTCAGACCTCCGCCGATATTTTCAAGGATACGGTGAATCGCTGCGAGACTTCAGCGGTGGTTATGGCTACGCCACCACCATCGCCAATACAAGCATCAGCACAGAGATCTATAAGGCGGATCCTGTATGGGTCACTCTTACTATTTTCTGTTCGCTGACTGCTATCGCTGTCGGTGTTATTGGGCTGTTATGCGAATCGCGGTCGATAATTCCAAACCGCTTCGATTCAGTGCTTGGGCTAACATATAATAACCGAGACTTGGGCTTGGTTGTGGATGGATCTGTCTTAGGGGTGGATGAGCGACTGCGTCTATTAAACCAACTTGAAGTTAGAATAGGAGATGTTATCGGAAACGCGGATATTGGGCGCATTGCATTTGCGGTAAAGGACAAGGTTTCACCAGTTCGAAAAGGAAGGCGATACGAGTGAATCAGTTAGCATTGATTATTATCGCAGTATACTTTGCGCTCTCCATCGACCTCCACGTGAGGTTGTTAAATTATGTTTTGTAATAAAGAAGACGCAAAAGAAACAAGTTGGATATTTCATGGGTGATAAAACGCACGATGGAATATCATCATATCTAACTACTGGCTACTGTTAGGTATGATCGCGGATAAACACTAGATTTCTAGCAACGTATTATCGCCATCGGCTTTAGAGCACAAGCAGAGTAGGAACGACGCTGTGAAGCTCTATGTTTGCGATACGCTTTCGCCAGCTTGTCTCTAACAAAGGACCAGCACGGAACATCTTACTTTCAAAATCGCCTTTTCCCCAAATCCCGGCTACATGAGACAGGAAGGGACCACTGATCAGGGAGGGCTATGAGATAAATCGGGCGTCAAGTGTCTCGAAAGATTCCCGTCTAATAAACTTTTAGCCCCTGATTCCTGCCAACTCAGTTCATGTTTGTCTTCATGCCCACATTTATAATAGCTGTTTGTTGAAAAGAATATTAGAATCCAGATAATCAACCTAGATCAACCACGTAACAAAGTTATCGATGTTTTTACCCGACAACTTATTTTCAGTCCATGGAATTAATGCCATGCGAATTTACAGTGGACGAGACCCACAGTGGAGCTACATAGGGGGCTCTACAGTCACAAAATATCACAAATTGACATTTAGAGCCCCGATGGCCGAGTGGTTAAGGCGGAAGACTTAAGCTCATTCACACTTCGTGTGTATATCTGCAGGTTTCTTCTGACGAAAGTCGCGCGAGTTCGAACCTCGTTCTGGGCAATGTTTTTTGACGTTTTTAGGCCTTAGAGCTTCCAATTGCCCTCTACAATGACAAATGGGATTTATTTCATGTTTCTAGCTCTTTGGCTGAGAATTCGGTCTAGGGGGTAGGTGGCCGTTTTGTTGGAAATCCCGCCTGGGTGGGCAGCACATGATACAATTGCGGTCGGTATACCAACATCTAAATACATAAAAAAGGCTCATGTTAATACTAGGGGGACTGTTAGCAAGCAATAGATTAGCTCGAGCGCGTCAATTGGCAGCGAGGTCATGGCCATAGGAATATTTTGAGCCTCGGAGCAAAAGTTTAAGTGAATTGATTGAGTACAGGAAACGATGACGCAAGCAGACAGGCCGACACTGTCGTAAAAATTCCGTTACTACTTAGGTATTCATTTTATTCGTCACATCGATTCGTCATTCTATTTCTTTATATATAAACATAAGTTTTTGTCTAGCGTATAGGAAGCGTGGTTCCTCCCGTCTTTCTACTTTCCTTGATGAAGTCCGCAGCTCTCTCGGCGACGGCATACACCGTCGTCTGAATATTACCGAGCGGTTCCAGGGGGATCATACTAGCGTCGATAATGCGAATGTTCGAGGTTCCGTGCACGATTAAATGATCGTCGACGACGCCGCCCAGCTCCCTCGGCAGCATGCGGCAGGTGCCGGCGATGTGGAAGCAGGACACCGATCGTCCGCGCACAATCTCCTTCGCCACCTCCAGGTCGTCGCCGGTCGCGTCGGGCAGACGCTTGAGTTCCGGGTCGATCATGTCCTTGTAAGGGGCCGTGTTGACGATCTTCTCGACGAAGCCGACCGTGCGCGCCATGATCTCGAGATCTAGCGGATGCGTGCAGTAATTGGGGTTCCAGGTCGGCGGCACCGACACGTCCTTGGAGGAGATGTGTACATTTCCTCGCGAGAAGGGATGGTTGAACAGGGAGAGGATACCGATGCAGTCGTACGGCGCGTGAGACGTGAACATGTCGGTCAGCGTGTCGGGATGAGGAGTCACGGTAAGGGAACCCGGGAAACACAGGTATTGGATGGCGGGCTCCATCTCGGATTCGAGAAGCTCGCGTATCAGCTTGTACTCGCGCTTCTGCACTGGGCTCAGCGTAGGGCCACTAGCAAGGTATTTGTCGAAGAGGGCCTTGCGGTCGGCCTGGGTCATGACGCCGTTGCGGTCTGCTAGTGGTACGTAGGCGACGCTGGTTCCCATGCCGGAGAGCGGGCCTTGCTTCGTCGATGCATACTGCTCAAAGGCGCTCTTGAACTTCTCTGGATCACGAAGCCCATCCGCGGACGGGTAGCCCTTCTTTACGGGGAATTGCTGTGAAGTCATGAGATGATCCTGCATGTGCTCGCCGACGTTGGGGTTGTCGATCAATACGTCGATTCCGAGGCTTTCGAGTAGGTCGCGGTCGCCAATGCCGGATAATTCTAGCAATTGCGGTGTTCTGATCGTTCCTGCGGCTAGGATCACTTCCTTGTTGGCCTTAAGAGGCGTGACTTTGCCGTCCTTGTCCTTCACTTCTACGCCCGTCGCAATGACTAGGCCATCTCGGGTCTCTGTGGTAATTTTCTGCACTGTCGTTTCTGTAAGCACCTTGAAGTTCGGTCGTTTGGCGACCTCCTCCGTGTAGTATGCAGTGACCGAGGAACTGCGAGTATTCTTCCCACTTTCGATGGTTGAGGAGTTCTGGAACGCGCCAATAGCCCTGCCGGTCCTGGGATCCGTCTTCATCTCTAATCCTAGTTCGGCGAAAGTCTTGAACCACTTCTCGTTCATAACTGAATACTGGTCGTCGAAGGAGAGCTGAACAGGGCCGCTGCCCGTTAGGTCTTCCTGGTAGTAGGCTAGACCTCCTAGAGTCTCTCGGATCGCCTTGCTCGGGGGATGTGATGTGGAAAACTTCTGGAAGTAAGGAGCGAGATCGTCGAAAGTCCATCCTTTGTTACCCATCTTGCCCCATGTGTCTAGGTTCGTTCGGGAGGGAAACATGGCCATCATAAAATTGGTCAACGAACTGCCACCCAGGACCTTACCGGTATCCTGTCGAAGGTGGCGGCCATTCAACTCGGTCTAATAACCATAAACATGTCAGTAATCCCAGCTGGCATAAATGGTAGTTATCGGCAGTAGAGGTTCTCGTACTTGCGCCGTTGACCGGAATGGCCAGATGAAGCGATCGTCAGCGTAGGCGCCGGCGACAAGACCCGGGGTTTCGAGAGAGGGGTCCTTTCTCTTGTCGGCCCCGGCCTCAATAACCAGAACGCGAACATCAGGATCCTCGGTCAGGCGGGTTCCCACCACAAGCCCTGATGTGCCGCCACCAACGACGATGTAGTCATACGCTTCACTCATTTTGCCTAGCGAAGTGTCTTAATGATAATAATTGACTCTAATTCAGGGAATTCGTTATGAAGACAAAAGGAAAAGCGTTCAGTTAGTTAGGAAAGTCAAGAGGAAATCTACGACGTGAACATGAGGGACACGCATTTTACTAGTACTGTAAGCTGACACGATGCCGGCAAGGGTTTGGATGCCGCATTGAAAATGCGGCAGCTCTAATCACTAATAGTGCATGGTGTAGCTTACTGGCCCTATCTTCATGACATGCGATGTCACCTCACCGGGATAGGTAGGTAGCTGTCGATCCATACCGCTGGAAGACCTTCAAATGGGTTCTAGTAGTACACCTCTGTTGTCCTTACTTCCTAATTCTGAAGATCTTCAGGGTCTCGCAAATAGGAAGTCAGCACTACAGAGTGCAGTGTAACGTTTGCGATGGTCACGCTTAGCTACATACATAAGGAGCCACAGGCTTAGGAGCTCTTGGAAGCAAACATGGAGGGGTATTTAGTCTACCTTGTAAGAGGGGTAAAATGTTGAATACCATTCGATGTGGGCTGAGTCCCGACTGATAAGGATCACAAGTGCCTGACATTCGGACTGTTCGGACCGAGCGTAAGGAGTTGGGGGCTTATATTCAGCATCCAAACAAAACACGAGAACGAAATGGCGGATTCGCTTATAGATGATTACTTTACAAATTATCGCAAGTTCGCATTTCACAACTTCTTCATCATCTTTGTGTACAATCGTTAAATGAAACGACGTAGGCTATTTTGTGTATGGGTCTCGGGAGCGAACGAATTACTCTAAGGTTCCGGTACCTCCGATTCAACTCGTCGTTGCATACCACTGTTCTCCCAGTTCATCACACCTTGGACGACACTGATCTCGAACTTCGATGTCCAATTGATAATTCCCGAGAAAGCTACCTGGCTATTCTCCTCTTAAGAATAGTCGAGATGTGTCTGGGCCTTTACCGTGCAACGAAACTCTGCATCAGTACCAAATGGTGTTAATGCAATGCCCAAAAGCCACTCGTGCTATGGTCGGCATCCACGCAAGATCCTTGGGCCAGAATATATGCAAGCCAACATAACGACCATATGTGTATTTGTGCATTTCTCCTGCCGCCAGAGGTGCCAAGGAGTTAGCACCTAGAGCGCCAATGGTTAGATTGTGGTCTAGACCTCTATGCCAGTACTGCAATGACTTCTTCTTTAGGGAAAAAGAGCCATTAGTTTGATCGGTGCATATTAGACGTCGACCGAAATACTCAGTTTAGGGAATTGTTAAGATGACTTCTTGGTGGTTAGAGGGTCGTCTTGAGAGATATATCGGCTGACCCTTTACATGTCATTCAAGCTTGATGAGTAAGTAGAACCGTTATGTCTAGCTCAAGGCTTACTCGCAACTTCATTCTGTGCATGGAAATACACTGGATGCTACTCTCATGTAATGCTATAATAAAATCTTTGAGAAACGTAAGCGATGTTTGCAAGAAATCCAAGGCCATGGGCTTTTTGAGATAGGTGACATCTATGCTACAAACTGATTCCTCCCTTTTTTCTGTATGGATATCGAAAATAAGGACAGATTCTACTTAACATGAAGAGCATTCCTTTGTATAAACTTAAAAAATAGATCAAATCACGCTTCATGTAAGAATTAAATCTGTATGACTCCTGTAGTTTGATATGTCTTGTGACACCGGCTACCTGGGAAGAGATGCGGATTTAAGGGCAATGGAAGGGAAACTCGGCGTTAGCAAAGCTCATCAGGTCCTCGGGCGGCTGTGAGTGAGCCCGCAGCCCGTCGGACCCTGCAAACACCGTCCCGCCCTTTTGTTGCATCACCGTGCAGGCCGGCACTAGCTTTCTAAATTTTGGCGCAGAATTCTCAACCAGTATCGTCAGCGACCTCATCGTCGCGTCACCGTTCTTACTATAATTCTACGCAACTTGACTGTGACCACGTTTATTCTTACAACCTGCGATACTCTGTCATAAGCCTATCAATTCATTTGTTGGCTTGCAAACTTCGTGGCTCCGCTTGTACCCCGAGCTGTTTTTCTACATTTGGCGGTCACGCGATAATACTACGGCTATAAATGCGCTGACGCCCGAAGATTGCCGACACATCTACCGCCAAACCCCTAGCTTCTTCCGAGTGCGCCGACCATTCGACGACGAGCTACGAACCGATCGTTTTGGAGGAAAAGGGGAAAACACGATGATACGGGCCTACCTTCGCAATCTTCGTCCTGTTCTGCAGCCACACGGAAATACCGTTGGTCTACGGAATGCGCTCGGCTTAGAAGCGCAACCCCTACGACGGGCCTTCGCTTCGATAACACAGCCGACTCTAGAATTCCCGATCGCGAGGGTTGCCCGAAAAATCAACTACAGACCGAGAATTTCAAACCCTGTCAATAAACCCTACCACTCCCCTTTGCGAACGAACAAGCGATCGTTCCATAAGACTTCGCGGTTACGAGACTCGAAACCCGATCCGAGCAAGGTGAACACACAAGAACCACAAGGATTGTCGGCGAGGCTCAAGAAGCTTTCCAGGGAATATGGTTGGGCTGCCGTGGGCGTGTATTTCGCCTTGAGTGTCCTGGACTTCCCATTCTGCTTCC